TCTCATCTGAATCTGGATCTTCTCGTTATTAAGTGACGAAGGCATGGGGTCGTATGCACAGGCCCTAACTACAACAATGTTCTAGTCCGATACTCTGTGCCCTCTGGCAAGAAAGAACGGTGGCATCGTAAGAGCGATAGTGTCTCATTATGGTTCTGTGCGTATGCCCGAAGGAGTGCACTAGGTGGCATGGCTCGATGAGGCCAATGCTGGCGACCTGCCTCTCCGCGCATTGCTTTGTACGGAAGTGCGGCGGAAAGTATGTCTGCTGCGAGATGCAGTCAGTTGGTCCCAACTTTATGGTGAGGAGATCTTTTTGAGGTCTCTACGAATGGGATATCGATTTTTGGGCCTATTTTCCGTCATGCCCTTCTGTTTACAAGACTTTACCTGGAATCTCGCCATTCCATTCTCCCGACTTATTTTCCTACGTTCGACTTGGCATTCATTTTGAAGTCGAGGAGCGTCGTTGCCAGGATCAACTTTGCCTTCTCGGCCTCACGGAACTAGTCCAGTCATACAGTTGCAATAAATTCGATTTCTTGGTAGAGGGCCAGTGAGTCCTCGTGAATGGGTTTATTCCAGTGTCCACTACATTTCACCACGTCGAAAAAGTTAATGTTGTTTTAGCGATCGAGGCAGGATTTCCTTATCAGTGGAATACTAACGTCATGAGGGAGGAACTCAACATTATCTCGTCCTCCTCATGAGTGCATGCAGGAAGGCTCTTAGTCCATCATTTCTTCACGTCCAGTGCGATTGATTCCTCAAGTGGTCGAAAGGAGTGTTAAAAGGAGTTGGAGAGCGTGTTCGGACTTTCTTTGGAAGCATTTGATTGAGTAAGACAATGCCTTGCTACCTGTGGCCATGTAACATGTCGGGAAGCCCTTAATGGACGATTGCGATAGTTCTACGAACCTGGTTTCGCTTCTATCTCCTCAAGACAGGACTCCATGCAAATTGATAGCCTTGACTCAGCGTGCGTGCTCTTTTACCGTCTCTGATGCAAATCTTGTCTTGACTAATGCATGTACACGTGACGTCATTCACGTACGACATTTACTCTCTTCCCCCCCCCCCCCCGGGTGGACATCCACAAATCCATTCGCGCACATAAATTTAGAGCCAGGTGGATTTTCCCCCTGGTGGACATTGCTCTTACAGCAGGAAACACCGCCTAGGGGGGCATCAACCAGGACCCTCCCCCCCCCCCCCCCCCCCCCCCTTTAAGCTTTCTACATCGTACCTCTGGATCGGAACATATGGTGAAGGCTGCGTCCAGATTATATTATAGTTGGCGTAAAAGGAGATGAGAGGAGAGGTTTAATTAGGGGGTCATTACCTCCGCTGTTTCAGTGAATGTCTTTCCATGCCTGTGGAATCTCACGCTTTGATAGTCTCGTTTCTTAGTGGACGAAGAATGCGATTTATCATGAGAAGCCTCCACTCCTGTAATACGCAGGCGATTCGTTCCCTCATTCTGGTGATCTTCAGTGCTCGAGTCTTGACAGCTCCGTTATGCATCGCAGTCGTGGCAGGTGGCTCTTCCTTCTTTTTCTTCCTTCCTTCTCTGCTTTCATTCCTTCCCCTCCTCCTTGAGGTTTTTCCCTTACGGGCTGTGACGATCCCATGGAAAGTTGACACAAAAAGTGAACCATACGCGTTTGTCCGTGTAACTGTACCGTCCGAACATGAATCTTTCGCACCTTGGTGCTGCTAGCGGATTCTCGTGCCCTCGGGTCCAGCTGTGGCTAGTGATTGGTTCAATTCTTGCTTCCAAGTTGAGCATCATTTGCCAGAAGTTTTTTTTCTTCCTCCCAGCTCCTGAGAGTTTATTACGCTTTATTGCATCATATGAATCTACGATCAAGTTCTCATGTAGGGGAAAAGTGTCGTCCGGCTGCCGTTATGTTTTACGGCCCTAGGTTCTGAATGGCCCTCTTGGCCCCTGCAAAGCCGCCCACCCCAGGAGGGGGGAAATGAATGCTCTGCCCTGCACGCCATTACAGTACATCTTATCAACGTCGAGACAAGAGTATCTTGCCCTCATTGCTCGTGATGAGCATTCTAGAATAGATCGTAATTTTGCTCTCCCTGCCGCCGACAACGTCCGTAGTCAAAGTCATGACAATACTTCTTGCATAGTGTCGGCCATTATTTATGTCCTAGAGAATAAAGAGATGCTGTTTGCACGAGAGGCGCGGAGTCACACTTCTGCTTGCTTCGCTCGGTTGAGAATTTTGTAATGTGCATTTACCTTTTTTACGATCAGTGATCCTGCTGCGTTTATTATGAGTGTTAGCACCACAGCTTGGGTCTAAATTAATCTTAACTGGCCAGGTCTTCATCATCATAATCATTATCGAAGGAGGCGTGTTTTTTTTTCGCTCCATGCAGCGAGCAAGTGTATCTGGGTGCACCTATTATTCTTGAGTCTGTGTGAGGTAATCATAGCTGTGAGGGGTGAGGAGCCTTCATGCCAGCCATTTCTCCATCCATCTATCCTGCCCGTTATCTGATGCTCTGCTCACATGTAGGCCTGTGTGTGTGTGTCTGCATTAAATTACTATGAACTCCAGGGATGCAAACACCCCTTGGGTCCCCATCCACTCTCAGGGCAGCATAATTAATTGTCTTACCAGTTACGAAATCTCACGTTTACGTGGACTTTACTGAGACCAGCCCCTAATGGATTCGGATCTGGGGGCCCTTAAAAACGGCTTAAGCCCCCTTTCCCTTTGACAGGCTTTCCATTATGCCATTTCAGCGACACTCGTCGATCTCTTCCTTGCCTCAGAGATGTCGAGATATGGAAATTAGTGCTACTTTGTTGCCTGGTATCTTGTCTGTTATATCTTTGAGCCTGTATTGCGAAGGTGTGGAATCTAAGATTGATCTTGAGATGGGATATCAGCGCTGTGGAATCTCTAACTTTTAGACTGGTCTTGAATCGTGATGTTGAGAGCCATATCACGCTGCAAGGATTGTAGGTATAATAAATACGTAGAGGACTGAGCCGTCTTCAATCAAAGTTTCAGCAATTGCTTGTCTTGAGATTAAGGCCATTGGAAGTCTTGCTTTTTGTACTGTCTTTTCTTGACTGAAAAAGACGTGACGGTTATTTATTGCGCCGCGTCTGTGAGAGCTGGTCCGCGCATTAAAATTTTTGTTGCATAATGGTATTGCAAAAAAAAAATCAATACCTAAAAATTTTAGCATGGGGATGACAAAACAGAAATTCCCAGCGCTCCCTATCCCCCCCCCCCCATTTTTTTTTTCCTTATTTGCTTTTCGTCTCCAGGTTTTTGGTAAATCTCTCCGGTAACAAAGAGCTAAGTAAGTTTTCCCCAGCGTGTGCTATGTTCTTACCAACTCTTACCACGTAGTTGGGAGTAATTCGATTATGTATGTCAAAACGTTATGTGGGAATTAGTTTATCGTGATTCAAATACGAGTTTCCCGTGTTCTGTAATCTCAAGAGCGATCCATCAATATCATGTGGCTTTCCGAGCCTAAGGCATCTCCTCCTCTAATATAAATCAAAGTTGGAGATCGGAATGTCAGAATTGGGTAAACTGATCCAGGATGGTCCTATGCAAGGAATGGTTAAACAGATTCAGGATGGTTCAGCGAATTCTAAGCGCCCAGGTGCTTAATGTTTTCCTTGCAGTGGTTTTTTTTTTTCTCATCCAAATGCACCTCGTTCGTGACATTACTTGTTTGACGCTTTAGATAAAGTCTTCGGACATGCTCTTGGCTGGTTTTTATAAGTTCCGAGTGCGTGAGTGAAAGGATTTCTTCTCAATCGCTTGGGAGATCTGAGAAGGCGATGCTGGGAATTTTCTCAAATTTCTTCTTACTAATGAGTCAGCTCCCTCATAATGACCATTGTATTTCGTAAAACTTACGTGATCCATACCTTGAGGCCAGGAGAGACAAAATGGCAAGCCACCGCTGCGTTTCTTATCTTTTTTTTGGAGTGTTTTAGAAGGACGAAGAGGTTACGTCACTCACGCATTTGGAGAGCCCCATATCCCTTCAGGATTCGCCTGATTAACCCACATCTTCCCTCGCTTGGGAGGCTGTCTTATATGTCAATGAACCGTCCTTGTGTCCTTGCCTCATCCGCGAGTCGTGATCCTTCCACCCATACGGTGAATCTTGTTTCTCATCCATTCGCCCACTTGAGACAGTTGCGCAAACTGAGATCGAGTCGATGGGCCTGCGTAACGGCACGTTTCTGTGATCTCACGGATAATACCGAGCATAGGGAGACACGGGTGGGAGTGTTTTCTTCTCTCTTGCGATGTTAGCGTTTTTAGCCGATCTTTAGATGCGTGGTCCATAATGAAAGCTTCGTGAACTAGGAATTGATTCGACACGGCCCGGCTCACGCAAGCGAGCTCGTAATTGACAGGCGAAACAGCCGAGTACGGGCGTGGCTCTGGCTCACAGGGATCTTCCGACGATTGCTGTCCATCCGCAGGGGGGAATGCTTCGTCTTATTAACCTCGTTTCGATTTTGGGAACTCTATGTGGGCGTCAGTGATGAAAAGCTTCCATGGTCTTGCCGTTCCACTTGGTACTTGTTACATAAACTTGTCCGAATAATCTGTTGTTTCATTCCTCGTGCTTGGAGACTTCAAGTATGACCGGATTATAGGATTATTGTAAACTTAAAAGATTTCAAGACGTGACACACTAGTAGGATTACAAATTTCTCACCACAAAAATAAGGTGACACCCAACCATTGACTGCAATGGTTTTTGGTTTATCAATATACTGAACCTCAATTCGACAAGATTGCTGCACAAGACTTACTGTTAGTAGTCATGGACTCATCACGCAATGTCCCCTGAAGATAGTGACTACATATTCACATAATGAGGTTCAGAGAAGTTATGATCGAGTCATGAACTTCGGGATATCTTTGGGCACCTTTCAAGTTTCTCGAGGTTCGACGTGCCCTTCCTCTGCGTTTCGAGAGGTACCACCTCGAATGGGCAGTGATTCACTAACAGTGGCTGGAAAATGAATTTCCAGTTGGACAAGGTCCTCCATGGGCTCGTTCCACATAATGACAAATGAGTGGACGATTTCGCATGCAACGCCGAGGTGATCTGTTGCGAATAACAAATGCTAGTCAAGCGCTTCCATTCGTCATCATTACGAGCCCCAGAAATAAGTATTGAAGGCCCTTGCATGCGTGTTGCACGCAGGATCTCCTACCACGAGACTGACCTTGCAACATCTTTTCCTTCCCTTCTAGATTCTTCGTTGGTGTCGGGATCTCTGTCTGTACCTGGGGACAGCATGGTTTCGACCACTGGGGATCACATGGATGACTCCAGTTCGAATGCCTTCGAGCAGAGGCTCCAATCCCTTCAGAAGCAGCTGGAGATCGAGCTCAAGGTGAGATCGTGATTCCGTCGACCGAAATCTAACTCATAATTGTGACATTTAACTGATGAGCTTAATATGCATTGGTTTTGTGGCGATTGCAGGTGAAAGCAGGAGCCGAGAACCTCATAGCAATGTACAGCACCGGCCCTACGAAGGACAGGAAGCTACTGGCGGAAGCCCAGCAGATGCACTCGGACTCGAAAGCAAAAATCGAGTACCTTCGCATGCGGATCAACAAGGCTCGCCAGAATAGAGAGGAAGAAGAATCTACAGATCACAAAACCAAAGGTCCGTCATTGCACGTTTTTGCATTTACTTCGACTAATGAGGGGCATATATTCCATTCAGGCCTACACCCCATTTAGGCTAGGTGAATAGGATTTAGGCTTTTAGGCCTTTATTCCATATGCAGAGTTGAGAGTCTTTCCCCCTGTCTTCTGCATTGCGAAAAGTTTCCAGGATTGATTGAGGGTCTTTGGAAACTCCACAATCAAAAGCTTTTCCGGTTTTTCTCTTCACCGATTAACCCTTTGACCGGTATGCCCGTAAATTTAACTGGCTCCTGTATGACAGGCGTCTGCGAAACTTGCCGGTCAAAGGGTTAATACTTATTTTACAACCGCGCACCGGCAAGGAAATAGAAGCATTGGAACAGAGAGGCTCATGATAGAGAGGGGAATGAAGTGAGAAATTGGAGCAGATCGATATTGCTCGGTCTTAGGCTATGGAAATTTTGGCAGAAACAGAAGTGTGTTTCATCCCGCTGGCAGATAAAAGTTGGGACCTGTGCCTGTTGACGCCTGTGGAGGTGAGGATAGAAGAGCTGAGGCATCACCTGAGAATCGAATCCGCCGTCGTCGACGGAGCCCGCAATGCCGTCCGCCTCCTTCAGGGCCAGAAGGCTCCCGACAAGAAGATGCTCCAAGAGGTACGTCTACGTCATTCTGTGGCTTCTTATTGTCGTATTTTTCATTAATCTGACTGCACGTTGAGTATGAGAAGGTACTGCGAAGGTAGTTGTAGACCAGAGGTGCCTAAATTTTTTAGTCATTATTGCCGCGGCCGCAAAATCAGAAGCTTGTTGTTGTTAATGGGCACCTTGATCTAGACCCAGGTCCTTACCTCGTGTCAAATGGTGGGACAAGAGGGAAGCCACATAGGGTGATTGTGGTACCCAAAATTCCTCGCCTAAGAAGCAATGTCAGGTGATTGAAGTTCCTAACATTCCTTGTCAATCACATGTACCTTGCGTAATGTGCAGCATTAGGCATAAGCGGAAGAGATTCCCCTCTCTCTTTGTCGGAGAAAGCAGCTCATAAACGTGGACTGAAGTTCATGAGACAGTGCCATGTGAATGATGGATGGATCTCACCTCTTTTCCGCACTCCCACTCCCTGTATAATGCACACACCAGCCCTGGCCGTGTGTAGTTATTACGAGAGACCTCGTGAAAGTCGTAATGACGTCTCAGAAGCATTCCACGACCCTTGATCGTGAGACCGGTAGTACTGATCCGCCTGTAAGGGAATCGCCTCATTCATCGCCCCATGTCTTTTGACCCGACCCTCCCAGAAGAACTGTGAACCGAGGACGAACAAGCAATTGAAACGTTGAAATTAGTCTTGGTGATTCTTGCTGTCGTACTGAGGGAGGATCGGCCGATTTCGTAATGGGTCTGTATGCGTATCCACTGAATGAAGTAATGAGACCATTTGGAACCATTTCAGGAGTTTCTTCGCGCAAAAGTGACGGAGAAACTGGCTGGAGGCGAGGCCGTGGCAAGTCGAGGTTGAGTGATGGCCAGGCAACAGTAAACGCCCGTCACATTGCTAGAGGGTGTAAATGAAATGGAAACTGGTGAAAGAGAAGGGAAAAAAGAAAGCTGGAGTGGTAGTACTCTGTCGCATGTGTAGGAGAGGATCAAGCCAATTATTCCCATCATTTGTGTCAAGTTATCTCGAATTACAGTTCACAAGGTCAAGATAACGGTGAAAGCCGAGAGATCGTGAAAGGGATCGCCTATGATTGAAAATCATCTAAGGATTCATCGGATAGTGCCCATTCCTCTCCTGTTGGCCTTTAGCTAACAAAGATGTGCCATAAGGAAAGAGCAGTCCTCTCCCGTTGGCGGAGGAAGGGAAAGTCAACTGGAAAATGGAAAAGAGAAGTGGAGGTGGGATTCCTTGGAAAGGGATGAAAAATCGTTGCTGTCTCCTTCATGATTCCCCATCATCCTCCCACGTGCATTATGCCATGCCCGTCCTTTTTCCCACGCCACTTTATCCCGGTTCCTGGACACCATCGCCCAAAGACGGGGAAGGGAAGAACGAGGAGCTAAGAAAATCCATTTCTAGGTTTTTAATCCGTTCCCTGACAGGAGAGGCGCCGATTGCTGCCTCAAGAGTGACAACATTTTCTCCAATGCGTTACCTTGGTCGTCCCCCCAACACGGTCATGTTAAGGTCCCGGAAATGCTCCATTGTGTGAATCTTGCCCGGCAGCATATCAATCCTGCGGGTGTAATGATTCCGACGTCCTCGAACTAGCAACCATGCCACTTTGAACTTTCCCCCGTGATTCCCATCATGAGAGTGAGATTGAGCAACAATTTTCCTGGTTGTATAAGGCCAGCCAGAAAAGCTCATTTCATGTTAGGGCTGGGCGATAGAGAGATTTCATTTTTCCAGCAGCCGACTGGCATGAGGTCTTCTCCGCGTGATGAGATGGGCGGAATAAATACACCTTTCTGTATGTCTTCCCTAATACGAGGATGAAAGGGATTGGGAGGGGATCATGACTGACAAGTGCATTAGATGAAGATGGAAGGAGGCAGACTTGTCCTGCTTGAAGCCCCGAGAAATTTCTGAACGGAAGTAGCGCTTTTTTTATATTTGGCCATCGTCCCCATGTTTTCCCCCTTCTTATTGCTCCTACTCCACATTCCTTCATAGCATGTAATTCTCCCTCACTCACTTTACCATCAAGGAAAGCCCCCATGGATGGGGGACAGGCGAGGACTGTGAATCAGAGACATAGGCCAGCCTAGTTGATTTTGAAGGAAGACAAGACACTCGGGAATAGTGGCCCAAGTGAGGAGAGTAGAGCTATGGCATCTTCCCCCCTCACTCTTTTTCCGGCGACTTAGGGTCTTGTGCCAGCTTCCTCACTCTATATCTCTCTCGAGCTTCTTTTTCCCGCCTCCTCTATTCCCTTTTCGTGCTACCTGCCTGGCACAGTGCCTCTGCCTTCTTGCGTCCTCTCTGCCACCGTATCCTCAAATCTCCGTCATTCGGGAGGGTCCCAGAATTCTTCAGTCGATATGCGACCTCCTCGTCGTGATCGATAGTGCATTCTTGAGTGTGCTTTTCGACAGTGTGGGTGGGGAAACTGGTTCATTGATGGCTGGTGCGACCCTCGTAGTTCCTTGGGGCGATGAGGAGGGGAAATGTCTTTCTGTGCAGGATTTCTGCTTCTACCTTCTCTTCTTCATCCTCTACATCTGCATTGGTCCCGATTCAATCGAGTTCCATTTGATGGGTCTTCTCTTAGCGTCCTGCCGACCCTTCATTCATGAACCGTAGTTACTACACCTCCAGCCCTTCGGGCTATTCCTTTCATGCACAGTTCACTCTAAGCCCTCGACACAACTACCAGTATGAATCTCCCGCATCCTTCGGAGCCCAATATCCCTACAGTAGAAGCGTTGGATACAGTAGTCTCAGGAGTGGTCATCACACAAGCAGTGCCCTGCCCTCTGCCGTGCCTGGTGGGAACGTGTCTTTCACTAGCCAGACCCCCAGTGGTGTGTGCATGGAATATTCCTTTCAACCTCGGTATTCATCTTCACCCGGTACTTCTCAATGGTCTACTTCTACTGGATATTCATCATTTTCTCGGAATCCAACGCGCTTCACTCCCACGACCTCCCGAAAGTCTTGGTTCACCAGAAGTTCCCCTTCACCAACCTATTATGGCTATTATGCAGGAGGCAGCATTGGTAGCACCGCTACCAGAGATACCGCTACCAGAGATTACTCCATGGAAAGAAGACTTAGGGAGGCTTCAGAAAATGTTGGAAGTGGAAATATACCTGCAACTTCAAGGTTCTCCAGTCCACGCTTTTCACCAAGTTCAGCATTGCGTGATACAAGAGTATCAGAAGACGTTGACAGCGTTCCTGCTTCTGTGTCCTCCCAACCATTTCGCACAGGATTGCATGATCCTCCTGAGAGAAGACAAAGAAGAAGAGAAACTGATGAGAAATGGTTGGAGCCTAGTGATGTTGTTAGGTCTTCTTGGGATACCAGGAAATCCCATTCTATTTCACATTCAGAGCCAATTGAATCTCCTGATACAGCCACTCGCCCAGTTTGGGGATTCCATAGAGACATATTACCTTATGGAAGGAAGTGTAGAAGCTCATGCACAATCACCCTGGAACCACAAGCTGAAGAGGCAGTTACCAATGCACCTTTGGCACCTCAGGTTTCAAATCCATCTAAATTGGACAGTGGTGCCTCTTCATTGCATCTCCAACCAGCATCCCCTGCTCCCTGCTCTCCTCCTCTACCTCCTCAGATGGGGACTATTCTGTGCTCTAATTGCCAGAAGCCATTGGATATGATACATCCAACCCCTCATGCATTGCAGTTACAGTCATCACAGCAGCAGCAACTGTTGCAAAGGTTGCATGAGCACTCCAATGAGGAGACCTTGATGGGAAACGATACATGTGATGATTGTGTATCTGTGATCTCACATTCCTCTAAGAAGTCATATACGTCTCACACACGGTCCAGATCGAAATCCTCAGGTACCAAGAAGCATCAAAAGCAGTCCACATTCCATAGAAGTTCTGGCAAATCTCATCAAGCATCCAGTTATGGGAAGAAGGCTCACAAGACAGATCCTGATCTATCTGTGTCTTCTCCCATTGTGATAGAAGCTAAACCCAGGAAGAGACAAGAATCCCCCTCTACCATCTCCTCCCATGCTGTCCACATACCCATTCGAGTTGATATTCCTGTAAGGGTCTCCTTTCTAGAATGAAGTTTTTTTGCCTTTGGTGAGATTATTGATGAAATTGGTTCCTCTTTTCAGTCTTCTCTTCGAAAGAGAAGGTCGGGCAAGCATTCAAGCTCAGGTCACTCAACACCACATACCATCCACATTGATGTTTACTGCACTGATTCAGAAGACAGTGGTTCTCAAACCTCAACTTCAGAACCCAAGGATGATAGTGCTCAGATAGATGATAGTGAATCTGAGAATACCTCAGTTGCCACACTCTATGAGACAGAAGAATGCAAAGTACGTCACATTCGGAAGAAGAACAGACTACCTCACTTCATGAAACATGCCAGTGTCAAAGTAGAAATACCAAGTGCATGCAGAGGGACTTCTAAAAGTGGAACAACACCTGCTCAGCCCAAATCAGGATCCTCATTACCCTCTTCATCTCATGGATTTTCAGAAACAGACATTGGTAATTACATGTCCAGTGATCCTCCTTCAGGTGTTGAGTCAGACATATCTCCATCTGTCAGCCCTGCTGCAAGTTCGGAGTCTAGCACGACATGGAAAGATGTATCAGATGGGGAAGCTCCTGTTGATTTTAATGTTGCTTTTCAAAAACTTTACAATGAGAATATCCTGCAGTTGGAAACTGCTATTCCCAACCCATATCAAGATGTTTTCAGTGATTCTCCTGGAAGCAAAACTTCATCTTCAACAAGTACTATGAAAACTATAAGGACATTAGGCACATCCTTTCATGATGTTCCAAGTCCAAGCTCTCCTGTGCCCTCCTCCACATTCAAAGGTGCTTCAGCAAGGCAAGGCCTCTCCAGACATCAGTCCATGCATAATCCTTTGCTTTCTTATTTGGATTCAAGAGTAGCTACACTTAGATCTGATCGAACTGCCAGACATTCCTTTCCTGGCCATCATAGCTTACAGCGACATGATTCCATCCATGGCCATGGCATTGAAAAAGGTTCTGGACAGTTCAACTCAGGGCATGCAAACATAGGTGCTGGAGCACTTTCTGACATACCCTCTGCAGTTGAAGAACAATGTAGAGATGATATGCTCTTTAAAAAGTACTTAGCTGACAAAAAGCAACGCATGTTGAGGACTGCTGAACGGTATGACCAGCTTACAGAGCGCCTGAACAGAAGCTTTGAAGAGTCTGTTATTGAATCTTCCCAGAAACTTGCTGTGAGGCAGTTCCTTAGTGATACATTGCCATCATCAGCCCAGAGAAAGGAAGTTCAAGCAAGTGATGGCACACAATCATTTCCAAGAATCCATATGCAATCTGTTCTTCCAAGCAGACCACAATGCACTGTCTCTTCCTCTTTGTCATCAGGGACATTGCAAGTATCCTCTCCTCCTGTCTCTTTCTCATCAGGGTCATTGCAAGTATCCTCTCCTCCAACACAGGTTCGCCTTTTGGCAAATGTAGTTTCAAATGATTTTGGATCTGTGGCCAGCAGTGCAATTGATGCTTCATCTTCTAGCATCACAAAGGAGGATGATTCAGGATCAGTTAAAGTTTCTAGAATCAGTGAAATTTCCAAGAAAGTAGCAGTTCCTATGAGAATGAGTGGGGAAAAGGACTTGAGTTCAAAACCAGCTAAGGTTCTTTGCTCCAAAATCAAAAGCATTCAGTCCAGATTTGAAACATCCACTGGAGATGAACCATTGAAGAAAGTGGAGAAACACCTAATGAAATATAGAGAGATGCTGAAACCTATTCCAAGGAGAGAACCAGAGCTGAGTAAGGCCATGCCTCACACTAAGATATTGGATGTTCAGGAGCGACTGAAAAAGAAGGCATCAACAGGTAATCCAGAAACCAATACAAGAACCAATGGAGGGAGCTTGAAGAAAAAGAAAAAACCAGTTAAGAAAAATGGGAATGAAGATTCTCAGTTGCAGAAGAGAACAATACCAAAATATACTGGCAGTCATAGCACAGGGAAACTGAATATCCCCACTGAACCTGAAGAACAACAGTTAGAGAAAGCTGAGTCTGAGTCCAAGCTGCCATTCATTGAAAGACCAGGAGATTGGAGTGATAGGTTGATCAAGGCAGAACGATTTGGCCCAGTGGTTGAGTTCGTGAAGAAACCTGGGCATCATATTGGACCATCAAAAAACCCAAACTGTTCATGTGAATATTGTGCTCGTTATATGCACGCTTTGACGTGTGGATCACGGTCATCTCATATCCTCAAGATGCAATTGGTAGCAGAGCCAGGCACCAATGAATCTGGGTTGGGATTAAGTGCTGTGAAGAGGGCTGTATGTGCTCTTGAGCAGATGTCCCAGCTCCAGAAGGATGAAAGTTCCCGTTCTGATGACCCACCTTCTGAGAAGCGAGACAGCTCTCCTAAATCTGCTCCAAAATAGTATGGGCCTGCAATCTCTTATCTTGTGAAATTTTAGTGAAACCTGAACCTCTTCATCAGCCATGTGGAATGCACATTGCATCATAGTCTTTTACTCTCCCATAATAAATTTGCCTTATGAGCTCTATTTTGAAGTGCTTAAGGTTTTTCTTGGTTCAAGCAAAGCCCTTGTGCTGAAAGATCTGGCCCCCACTTAAATTTCAGGTGATTTAGAAGTCCTGTTGTCATACAGGTAGCTAGCTTGAAAATATGTATTTAGAGTTAACTTTCCATACCAGTTGTAAGCATGTATTCTCAGTGGTGAATTGCATGACTGTTTCCCAATGGTGATACCTGTTTCAGCTGCTTCAGCTCTTTTTACCAAAAGCACTGTCACTGCACTTTAATCTCAGGCGTAATGGAACTTGATCTTTCAAGAAGTATCAGTGACACTATTAGTGTCGCTGATCACAGCCACATAGATTGCAAGAGCTGTAAACTTTTGTGTTCACTCCTTCATACACAAGAGGTTGATGCATTTCTCAGTTTATCATTAACAGTTTCACAATAAGTTCAGTATGGAAATGATTCACTTATGGAAGTGTTGCACTAATGGAGCTTTGTAGTCATTGCCTACTTGACTTCATTGTCTTCTCAACCAGAATGGTAAACACAATGGCTGCACTTGAAATTGTAGCACCAAGAAGGAGTTGATTGATTTTTTATGAAATTTGATGAATGAACTCTTGATAGTATATAATTAAATTGATCAAAAGTTTCAAGGGCTTGACAATTCTTCACAAAGATAACTCAGCAAATACCTTGATTCAAAGAGCAGGTGGAGGTCCTGCTAATTGCTGTAAAAGAAGCACTCAGATGGAATTTATTTGTGAAATGTAGTAAAGGAACTCACAATGGTGTCTTACATATATTGAGGAAATTTTCAAGGTCATAGGATGAGCCAATACAGAGAAAACTTGTCTGAAAACTAGTTTAAAAACTGAGGAATGAAGGATGCTTCTCTGAAGATTCTCTGAAGTTTTGTATTGGCCATGTTGAGACCATATCTCCAAACCCAATATTGCCAACTTGTTTGAGCATTTTTTTAATGTCAGGTAATTGGGATGCATCAGGTCGATGCACAGCAATGATGTAGAAAGGGTATGACAAAATGGTAGACCTTTCATAAAGAAAGTGGCAAGATGTAGAAAAAAATTGATGGCTGTTCTTCTCATTTGGCTCTACAACCAGAGGCAAGCATTGAATACTTTAGTTGGCTGCTGTCAGCCATTCTGATGTTGTAGTATTTCACTGGGTAAGTTGTAAATAGTCAGCAAAAATCATACTATCATCTTGTGAACATTTTGGGCAACTGTTATCATTGGTGTAGATGGGTCCCATCGATTCTAGGGGTACTCGACAAGCAGTAGACACACACTCTCCCATATCCATTATCTTATCCCATGGCATTCACAGGCATTCTGATAGTGCAAAATGCCCTAGCTACCTGAGCCTTGCAAAGAGAAAAAAGGACTTTTTGTCTATTTCTTATAACTGAAAATAAATATTCATTGTGTCTTGCATACTCTCAGGATCAGTTCTTCCAAGAAACAATGGAGGGCTATGTTTACAATGCCTTGAATAGTGGTCAAGAAATCATCCCCTCTCTTACTCACTATTGAGAGTGTAGGTATATTCTAAGAGGCTTCATATCGCCAAAAATGGTGATGGTAGCTGTAATAAATACTACTGGTATGTCTGTGAATTTAGAAATAAATGAGAAGTCTATTGGTGTATTCAGATTTTTTCAAAATCTTTCCATTTTCACCATGTAGGTGGGTTTGTTATTTTAGAGAATTAGTACCTAGAAGACTTGCAGCATGCAGTCATGATGATGACATCTCACATTCTTTACCTTTTGAATGATCCTAGGAGCCAGACCCTTGGTAATATAATAGTATTTATCTATATTCTTTCCTAAGGCCCAGACCCGGCTCCTTGAATCAAGCAAGAAGCTGGACCTCATTAGACATTCTCTGGAGATGCAGAGGAAAGAGTTGCCCCAGGACTCTCCAAAAGCAGAGGAGATCCAGAATGAGCTACACAATGTCCTATCTCCTGCCTCACCTGGCTCCTATAGTCCTTCTCCCACTGCATTTGAGAACTTCAGGAGGCAAGGAGCAGCCAATAATCAATCTGTGGGCAAGCGGACACATTCTCTCAACATAGGGAAGACTGCTGCTGTTACTGGGAAGCTTGAAGTCAGGTAAGATATTTATTCATGTTTGGTTTCATGTCCAAATTTGGTTGATCCATTGATGGTGATTTAGTTAGGGGGGACAGAGGGTTTTAAGTGGTAATTTTCATTTGACTGTTTTTTTTTTGCTTGTCATAGAAAATTGTTCACATCAAATAGTTTCTTTTACTTCACTGAAATCACATTCCAGTTTCCCATTGTAGGCAGTGCAATCATATGCTGGTTACACTGATCATACCAAGTTGCTGGACATTTTGAAGAATGTGACAGCTTACAGTAACTTTTCTGTTAACAATTCTGAATTGCATAATTTAGTGCTACAATGCAGATGTGCATCATAACTATGAATTAGGCAATTCAGAATACTGCCATCATGAATCTCTATTGTCATCTCATGATTGCATTGTGTCATTTCAGTCACTTGCCTTTACCTTGCCATTTACTGCATATCTACTACATCTTTGAAATGGAGTATGCAAGAGTTTCTTTGCAAGTGAAACCTGAGTGCTCCATTTTTTAATCTTATGAATTTGAGACTAGGAGGATCAAAGATGACATCAGATAATTCAGATCACTGTCCACATTGAATGCCAGTACTTAATTGGACTCTATTCCACTTCAAGGAGAGTCAGTTATCTAACTCTAAGTTAATGAGGGGTTGCTGGAGATTGATAACATTCCTTAACAATCAAGGGTTGCCTTCAAAAGTAACACTTCACAATGATGGGGTCAACAAAGGAGGGGGAGGGGAATCATAGGTCATATACAAGGCTTAGGAAGAGCTACACTTCACATTCATTGGCTGTCTGCAAAAGTTGTCTACAAAAGGCACAATGTGAGGAAAATTGTGATTCCTTTTTTTCACTGTGTGACAAAGTTGTTTATTTCCAATCCTTCTGGCTGGCTCCCATAAACTGTCATGGAAAATTGAGGAAAATTTTATATAATATAATTTACTTCTGCATCATCTCTATAGACTCATGGGGTGTCAAGACCTTCTGGAGGAAGTCCCTGGACGCTCCAGGAAAGATTCATTACATAGCCCAACAGATATCAAAGCAGTCCTGAAAGTTCGATCCTCAAAATCATATAGTGTCAAGGATGAAACAAGCAGTAAGTGTCCTCTTACTTTCTCTGCTTCTTGTTTTTGTGAGTGTCTGTTATTATCTTCAGCTTTGTTCCATCAATGTACAGTCAGTTGGCTGAAGGACCATCCCTCTGCTGGTGCTTGTAATTAGGCTGAGTTTTGGGAGGGTCAGTTGGCTTTCTGTTGTAGGTTTCTGTTCAGGTAGTTGATATCTTATAGATAGATAAAAAATAAAACAGAATTGCTATGAAAACTTCTCAAGCATGTTGACTTTGTGAACCAACTCATGTTTGCTGCAAAAAAATCTAAGTCAGCACAGCATTGAAGTTACATGGAGAATTTAGAGCTATGATGTCATAAAGGTAGCAGCTTTTGATATTTCCTATGGGTTAGCCAGAAGACTTCTCTCATTAAAAATTGGGTACAATTGCACACTATCCCATATTATCTTGAAGTTGGGTTAAAATGCCTGTGCCCTATCTTCAGGTAAACTTACACATGAGATTTTGGACTTATAAGACAATCTGTGCACACCCTGTTTCTCAAGCTGATTACTAAATCACTTGACCATTCAAGGGGGAGAAAGGTAAGATGCTGCTCAAAATTTGCTAATTGCCAGTATTGTGTCTTAGGTTCTTTTTTCTTTTTCTGTCCTGCTTCTACTAATGGAACTTGTAGTGCAAAGGTTGGTTGCACATAATTTGTGTACTTTCAGATAATGGAACTTCCTGGGTCATATGCTGATCAGACAAGTGTATTTGGAAAAGGGCTCATGATCAGTTCATATTGCTTTTGAGTTTCTTGCTAAGTATGGGAACCATTTCCACATTACTCACTAAAAAAAAAATAAAAAAGGTTGTTCATTGCTTGTTTGAAAGAATGCTTGAAACATTCCAATACTTCCAGGAAACCTCTTGCACAGTGCAAATGCCCTTGCTCTTTTTCTGAAACACTTGATTGATCAGCACAAACAATATCATTATGAAAGAGAAGTGCCCAGATTACACACAACTGCCATAGCACTACTGGTAACAATACAAGCAAGGCAGATGGCTGGTGAGTTCAAATTGCCATCCTGACAGCCTGTCAGTTTTGCCAGCAGATCTTCCTTTTCTGTGATTCTGCAGCAAAATAATCAATCAGTTTGAGAAGTGTGTGCACAGCCTATCTCCAAATTTTAAGACCTAATGTGTGATGGCCACCTCTAAAGTGCTGAAGCTACAGCACTGATGTTTTTAACACAGCATGCAGATAAGTAAGGGGAAGTATTTTACCAAATTATTTATTAGATGAATTTTCTGGTTTGCCTTTTTTAGTTTTTTTTTTTTTCAGCCAATCCTTGCCATCAATGATGGTAGCAATGTGAGTTTTGATATGAGGTAGGATGTATGACTGAATGTTAATCAGGAGTGGTGCTGTTACTATTATAGTTATGTTGACAGTAAATATACCAGCTGGACAAAAGTAGTGCCACTATTTTTTCTGCCAATGTTTTTTTGGTCACAAAGGTTTCCATATCTTATTACATTTTTTGTGTTGATGGCATAGGGCTTGGATTTCTTAGCTTACTTCATTGTCTCATAATTGCTTGAAATTATTATGAAATCATGATTTTGAGTCTTTAATAGTAGTCTGAGTTTCTTTTTAATGACTTCATGAAACGTTAATATATTTTATCTTCATAAAAATCCCATGTTTCTTTGCTAAAATTGCCTACTGTGAGGGATGGAGAGTGGGACTGATGAATTCCAAGTTTGATGCCCTGTCTGCACAAAAAGTGAACCTATCTGTAATCCCTATGGCATTGATGTGTGAAGTCACTCAATTAAAAGTCAAGAGGCACATTAGATAAGTTGCATCAGGAAATCGCCATAATCAGAGTAAAATGTGAAGTATTGTTTCACTTTTTCCTGCCAATATATGGCAAATATTATTTGACCACCCTTTGAACTATGTTTGTGAGAAAAAAAGCACGGGATTCCATGAGGGGATGAAAAATAATATGCCAATGGCTACTACCACTTTTCCTGAATGTGATGAAAGGCCCTGCCATGACTGAGCATCATGCTGCATGATGGACTGACCTGCACTGTTTTTTGTTTCATCTCTTATGACTGACTGACACTATCACCCCACCCCAGGCCAAAATTATCACTGTCTCAAGTTGTCCATGTACATTGATTCTCTGTTCTCCATTGGCATGGGAGGAGAGTTTCTCCTGGCCTTCCTTCCCAGTCAAGATTTCTGTTCTTCCCAGCAGGTCTCCCGACGATGTTTCACACTTGTATCCCTGAACGCATGTACTCTTGTAAGTCCTCCCTTGCACACCTTCCCCTTTGGGCTCCCCTTTGGCTCTTTCTTCCTCATGGGCTTCCTTCCTTTCTTTTCTTCCTTGCCTATGGCAAGACTTAGCCCATCACTATCTTATATACTTTCAGACCCCAGATTCCATTGGTGAGGGACCACCTTGAAGAACTTATGCTTCTCTTATCACTTCTTGTAATGTATGCTCCTTCATGGAGCTATGTGATCAGAGGGGCCTGCATATCACACCGACTTGCATTTTCAGTTTTAAATGAAATGAAATACACTGGAAACCAAAGATGTTTGGTTGAATTTCAACATGAAAGACTCCAGCATATCTTTTGCACAACTTGCAATTTGCTTGATTGATTTATTGATTACGAAGTTGAATTGGAGTCAGAAGTTGGGAGAGGGATGTGATGAACTTTGACAAGGCTGACAAATATGCAACTTTTTTTTTATAGGCCTAATTTTAAAAAGTTTTAAACTTGGATTTTTTTGTGCATTTGTTAATTTTTTTTTAATGCTTTTCATTCTAAAACATTTGCACTTGAGATCTCTTTCATATCTGATGTTCCAAATTGACATCGGATATGAAAGAGAGTGTGTCCAGTTAATACGAAAAGCAAGGCAGAAATATCTGATGAAGAAAAGCTGTCTTCATTCCTCTTTCCATCCTGTTTCCTCTATAAAAACAATTTATTGTCTTTGTCCTTTTCAGGAAGTAAAAAGACAGATTATGAACCTGTCAGCATCTTAGATTTTTATTCCTCCTATTAATACCATCTAATTCAAGTTCATTCTCTGCTTTCTCTCTATTTTCTGGTATTTCATGCATGTTAAACTGAACATTTTTAGGGCCCATATTTGATTGATTTCAGTCATTTAATGCAGAAAAAAATGTTAAGAAAAGCATTGTAGTAGCTTAAATTAGCTGCATCAATTAGTCAACCTGATTTAAAGTGAAGCTGGTATGAATATATATTGCCTGAAGGTAATTATCCAATAGGATGTATTTAAAGGGTTACTGGAAATTATCTCCACTCGACTGAATAATTTTGGTACTTTGGATGATAAATAGCAATCTCCAAGAAATTTATCATGCTCGAAGGTGTGATGCAAGCCACTGGAACTGAAGCACCACAGCTTCTATGGTTAAGTACAATGTATGCATGATTTGCATTTAGGTAACTCTGGTTCCATAAGATATACTGGATGCAAGAGGCTTTTGGCCCATTTCTGCACTCTGACTCTGAAACACCAGCTAACCTGCCCACCCATCAAAACCCTTCTCCCCATGATGTCAGCTAACACAAGTATCCTTGGAAGACTCAATTTGGCCTCTCTGCTTATTCTGGGGATATGCTACCTGGGTTCAGCCTTCACTGCTGGGGATCTTTAATGTCCCACATCCTGAGATGGGAATTTTTTTCTGCTCAGGGGTCTTCCTTTCCAAGCACACTGGGGCTTGCACCTGGAAATATATACTTGTTTGGGTTCAAACCTGGGTTCCCTGCCACAATAGCCAAGCTCATTACCAACCGACCCTCTCACCTGCCCTCAAATCCACCCAACTTCAAACCTTTTACCTGATTAAGTGTTGTGTTGAATCAAGGTTAGGTTCCACAGCAATCCTTCTGAAAGTTCTGATTAATATTGTGATCTTGAATGTGCCTCACTCCTGAAGTAGGTGAGATTAAAGTTGTCCTGTGACTTTATCCACCCTGTCCAGTATTCATTTGAATAAGTCTTTCACCAATCAGCAATTTGAGCCATTCTATCTTTTTCTGGTGATCAACAAGGATGTTGACCACCTCCAACCAGGATGATTTATAGAGTATAGATTTTCAGAATGTGAAAGGCTTATATTGCTCTCCATTTATATTTCCAGATTTGTTATTAAACTACAAACAAAGAAACTTATTTACCAAACATTCTTTTTATCCATGCAAAAAATGATGTGGAAGCACAAAGTTGAGGAAAGAGAGAAAGTAGTAATGACTTCTTATTAGGTATACAGGTTGTTGGATAAGTAACTTCATTTTTTATTTTTAAAATAACTAATAAGTAATAGACAGGAAAGAATGTGTTTACAGCACATAACAGTGGCCATTGCCAAATGGCAGGATTTACAAAAAAAATTATCCTTCATGCTTCCCTCATACTTATACCCAGGAAACTAGCCATCAAATCAAGCAGTCTCTTGCATATTTGTCTTATCTTATTGCTGGTTAATTAAGATTAATTATACTTCTCAAGCTAAGTAGTGGTCTTGGGAGAGATATTCATGATGATTTGTGAATATCTTAATAATAGTTAACTATTGAAAGGAGGGATATTTTGAAGTATCATTGTATGAGATTTTAAATGCATGACTTCCCAGAAAATTGCTAGCTTGAGGAGTTAAGATAAAATAATCATTACTTCCATCTAGAACTCATTTCATGGGTACTAGTACATGGATTCAGGTGCTGGTGTCCTGAGGCATTGTTGTCCCTATTGACACTCTGAGTCAATATTGAGTGCTCACCCCCCTTCCCATCTTTGATTTGCTCTAATACTCTGAAGATAAAATATATTTTGATGCCAATATACTACCTATTTAGTTTTACCTATATCTCCCCTCCCCCCATAATCCATGGAGGCATAAATCCTTGCAGCTATCAACAGAAGAGGCTGCTACTTCAGAGTGTTTTCCATGCACTTACTGTCGAACTAGTAAAATAGTCGAGGTGGGAGTTGCAGGGGATCTGGAGGGTATTGCCTTCTTGCTCTCCCCATCGTTCTTGTGGCCTAGCTGCCATGACCCTAACCCCTCTGCCCTTCTGCTAAAATTCCCACCATGAAATCAGATTGTTGTGTAAACTTAAAACCAAAGTTTTGCAAACTCAAAGTTTACATAACTTAAGTTTTCTTCCCCTTTGTTATTAAAATCAATATCAAAGACCCTCCAGAATTTTAATATCCAAGACCTTAATAACACTTACTGCCCCTTTTAGATCTACTCTTATTAGTTTTGTTCAAAACAGATAAATTTGCAACCAAATGATTGTAAGCATGATGTTAAAAAAAACTGCCAAGTCTTTTTTATGGTATTGATAGTAAATTTTATTTGGTTGGCCCAATTTTTTATCTCTACATGTGAATGGATTTTAGAAGGTTTGTGCTGAAGTTGAAGAAAATTGGCACATTGTCATGAACTACACTGGTTCAAACTTGAAGAATACAAATAGCACCAGACATCCCTGCTAATGAGTCAACCTCAACCAGTGCAACGAGATTCCTCATGTGCCATATCAAATATATAAAAAAGAGGCAATTAGTGTGGTGCTTTCTCTTGGTCACTCTTTTCATATTTTATTCTTAATTTATTTTCCTTGTAATCCAGTTCCTGCTGCTTGTTTTGTAATGGTGTTGTCATGGTCTACAGGAAAGAGGACAAGTATCTTGCTTAGGGTTTATGGAAAACTAAAGGTTATGGTTCTTGCTGTTTCATGAAAGAATTTAATGGAAAGAATTGGACAAGAAGTAGCCTGGGCTACCTTTTCTAAAGATTTAATGATGGTTGAAGGAAAGTCAGGGAGTAGTAGACCTTGCACAGCATTAGCACCAGAAAATTTTGAAGAGGTACTTATGTCAAGCCAAGAGGATAGTTTGGAGCACCAAACACAAGGGAGATATCTCAAGATATTTGTATATCCATTTCAACAGTCCTCAGAATCATAAAGAATGATCTCCAACTAAAATGCTTTTTTAAAAACAAGCTGCAAGAGTGGGATAATTGAAACAGAGTATCCATTGAGTATCAATGTGCCATGTATCCAGAGTATCAATGGAGCAATTCTAGAATGGTGACAGCGGCTGCATGCTTGTGTACAAGAGTGCAGGAGTCATTTTGAGTTTAAGGTATGACTGATTACATGGGTATCTTTCAAATTCAGCAAAAATTCTCCATTATTGATCCAGAGTCAATTTCCTAAAAATTGGACTGATCCAATAAAATATACTTTTGTTATTATCAAAAACATAATGGCACAATTTTTTTTAAACACTGTGTAGTATGAAAATTCCTGTATCGTTTTAATAGGTCATCTCTGAAGCATCTTCAGTGCCATGAAGTTGTTATTTATAGGTTTTCAAAGGAAATAGTGCAATGCTCTAAATGAGGGCAATGATAACTTCGCCAAACTTATTGTACTCTGAAATTGTCTTGAACAGGCACTTCTGCAGCTCTAGCAAAAACATGATATGCTGCATCCTTGCACTTGAACATGCATGCTGATGTATGTACTGCTTTTTGCAGTTGCGTCAATAATGTGCATGTCATGGCACCCTTTCTCAGCATAGTATTGTCTTCTTTATTGCCTATATGCTGTGTAGAAGCTATGTAGTTGGAATATTCAGGTTTTGCATGCATTTGTTCAAGTTTTTTTTTCACCTGTTTCCTTTGGATTCACTTTGAATTTTGTCACTCCATCAGATGAAATAATGGCAGTGCTCAAGCTGGACAACCAAACTGTAGCCCAAACCAATTGGAAGCCCTGTTCTCAGCAGGCCTGGGATCAGAGGTCAGTGATCACCACATTTTCCCCATGATTATAATTTTGAAATACTTTCCATGTTATGTCTTTGCAGCTCTAAAATTGAATGAAAGTTAGGTCTAGGTTAGCTTGGTATAAACAATATCCTTCAATAAAGACATGATTGGATCATTTTTGCACATATGCACATAGGTCTGGATTTAACTTCCTGGATGGAAGAAATTTGTACTCAGGAAATAAGAAAATAATATATAAAATGATTCCATGAATGATTTGCAGATTTCCTAGAAATGCCTGCATTCACTATGTCTTTGCTCAGAGTCTGGGACATTGAATGGATTTCATCTCATTTATTACCCTATTTCTTAATAATTACAAGTGGATATATCATGTCCTAGAAGATACCATTATTAACTTACATCAGTGTTGAGTGATAATTTTTGTGATTCTTTGTTATATTGTTCACTGTGGTTTCTTTTTTCTTTCAATTGATATTTTACCCTCTAGCCCATTGAGGTGGGCATCATTATTTTCAATGGCCCTACTTTCCAGTATATGAAATAGTTACTGCACTCAAGGAATATTGACATGAAATAAATGTCATTATTTCAGTACAGTATTGGCTTGACATGAGCATAACCACAGATTGCTAAGAGTCACTGATTTGGAGGTTAGGACTTAGATGCTGTGTCTACATATGCTTCTATTTTCCTAAATATCATGCCTTGTGAATAATGATCTCACAGGAGAATGCAATAAAATTGTTGGAGAAAGCTATTATATCTGTTATGTTCTCAATGGAGATAGGTGTTTCAAGTGCAATTGTCAATAAAAGTGGTAATCTAAGGTGCATTAGATGCCCAATGTGAAGATGTTAAAATTGTTTGTGTTTACTACAGTTTTCAATTATTGCCATATCTAAACATTCTTCTTTAAGATCATGTACATATCATTTAACTTACATGTTTGAAGTTTTCTTTTGTGATGCTCAAGGCACATTTTCTGATTCACCTATGTATCCATTCTCCTAAATTTGGTTCTATTTCCTTTCAGGTTTAGCATAGATTTGGATAAAAGCCGAGAGCTAGAGATCGACATATACTGGCGTGATTGGAGGTCTTTGTGTGCTGTCAAGTTCCTACGCCTAGAAGAATTCATTGATGATGTTCGCCATGGCATGGCACTGCAACTTGAGCCTCAGGGACTACTCTTTGCTGAGGTGAATTTTGTTATTCATGGTCTGCAATTTAATGTTTCTTCATGTAGTAGAGTCCAGTGATGGTTAGGACATATCATTATCTCATGTGGAGCATCATTACCCCTTTCTAGCCAGGTTCATTACCATGTTCATGGTGTAAACTCTCTGAAAAAATCTTTCCCTCCCCAATGCATTGTTAAAAGTGCATATTGCTAAGTATAAGCTTGAGTTCAGCTTCACATGGGGATAGTATAACCTGGAGATGGAGTTGTCACCTTGAAACCTGTCTTGAGACCTGCTCATGCCTTTAATTTCAAAGCAGTCTGATGAGCAAGGCAATGAACAGACTAACCTATATGAAATATACTTCATGACAGAGTTCAATGTAGTTTTAGATTTTGTGATAGATTCAGAGTTTGCTCAAAGTTAAAGTAGACTTGAGGAACAGCCCCATAATATTTGTGGCTGGTTATAGCAACTCCAACCCTCTGGATATTTGACTGATCAGCCTGATTTCAGACAAGGCACTCATTTTGCTCAGTGCACCAAAAGTCATCCCTGAAAGTAAAAATGTGAAAGTAGGCATTTTCCAGTTGTCACGTTGCTTGTATTAACACATTCACACCCAGCTATTCCAGAACACTATGAGTTTAAAAATGTAATATTACGGTTCCCGGCGTCAATGGGTTAAGATAAATATGATTTTTGCTTGTATATAGCAAGAATTTCCCTATTCATGAAGTTATATGTGTCTCACATGAATACTACATTAGTGCAAGTCCCACATTAGTTCAAGTTATAGAAATCTGAGGTTTTTTTGCTTTCAAGATACCCTTGATCTTCTCAGCCTGATGTTATATAGGAAGGTGATGATGGATCAGTTAAGCCTTGGACAGAATCGCAGTTCATGAGACGTGATTACATACTTCCACTCAAAATGCTTCAATGTCTCTAATTGTAAATAGAACTATTACTCTTGATGTTCACAGTGGTTATGAGTAAATAATGTCTGTTGGATTACCTGTTTCCTTCTCAATGACACAAGCCTCTCCCTGCCAATGTCTCTGCAGATTAAGTTTTTGAACCCAATGATCAGCCGAAAGCCGAAGTTGCAACGACAGAGGAAGATTTTCAAGCAGAAGGGGAAGCACTTCCTCAGACCAGGCCAGATGAACATCAATGTAGCCACTTGGGGGAGGCTGATCAAACGCAACATTGAAACCAGTGAGTGCATGTCAGCTTCCAGTTGGATTTTAATCTGTGATAATGTATCTGATAAGAGAGAAATAATGGGATTTTTTTTTAATGTAGCCTCAGCAAGTCCAGCAAGGCCAAGCAGTCGACCGATTGAAGTGGGTGGGGTACCCTCGCCAGGAGGTGCACTAACTATGATTGAGAGCCCCATTTCAGAGAGTCGTCCACTTGCAGTGTCACCTCCCACCTCATTGCCTCTTGGGCCTCCCCCTCCTCCACTTCATTCACTTCCTCATCCACCTCCCCACCAGAAGAGGCCTGCTCCATCTCCACCAAGGGATTCCTCCAGTGATGCTCTCCGAATCAAGGTCAGATAGTTCGCATTCAATTTACCTATTTACAATAATGAATGAAGCAAGAGTACTGTACCATGAAGGTACAGTAGTCTGCACCTCCATCAATCATGATGAAGTTGTAATGAGTGTCAACCATGCTACAACTTTATGGAGTAGTGGTGCAGTCCTGTTGATGGTCTCAGTCAGTAATTTATTAGCATAATTTGGAAGGTATCTGACACTGTTATTAAAACATAGGTGGAGGATTCATACCTTCGATTAAAAGACAACCATTTCCTAAACATTATTATCTGCTATTGAGACAATTTGTGCCATGTGCACAGATCTCAACAAGTACTCTGCTAACTTTTGTGCAATACTGATGTCCATGGGGAAGAAAGCACACAGGTATATTGTATTAGTTGAAGGCTTGAGGCCTGTGCATACTGCCATATGAAGGTGTAAAATAACAAGTATCAGCTGATCTGCAAGCTGCCCAACTCTGAGCAGAGGTTTAACTGAACAGATAATCTAGCTTATGACCAGATGTCAGTGTGGACTTGGTAGCTTGATCTGAGAAGTCATCCTTTGTAATCGCTATCTTGCGCTTGATCAGGATGAATATTCATGGACATGCTAGTTCATGAAGCAGAACATTTCATGGGTTAGTTCCTATAGGTTAGCCTTGGAGGACTCTGATGTCTGATTGTCATATGCAACTATTTGTTTTCAAGGGCTGCAGAGATCCAGAAAAAGTTTGATCATTTTTCTTGAAGCATGGATTCAAGTAATTCTAGTATTCAATAGAGAAAAGCTCAAAAATGCTGTGTAAATATTGAAATAAATACACTCAATAAATAAATATTTTTCAGTACCCATGGGCTTATGATAGCATGCAGTCATTTTATACCTGGGACACCATCCTTTTCAATTTTCCAATGTGATGCAATTAAACATATACAATGAGGTTAGGTCTCTCACATAATAATACACAATTCCAAAAAAAAAGCTGTGGAAAAACAGCGGGCAGTACGGACCCTTCCTTCTCTTGATCACCCTGTTGAGACTTCTGCAGGAGTTGCCATGTATATTGTACAGAGTATAGCAAAAAATGAACATTGAATTTTAACCCTTTCGCTGTTAGCTCGAGTACATACTCGGGTTGCATGCGCTGCTTGTGTAGTGGTAGCCTGAGTGGAGGTCTACCACTACACAAAGTGGAGGGCATTTTCTTGCAGAACAGTGAAAGGGTTAACCTAAATAACTCAGCTCACACTGGAGCAGTTTTTGCAAAAACTTTCACTCGGCATACATGAGTATCTTTCCAACTTTTTCTCAAATTTTCATCCGAAATGGCTGGATGGGAGCAATACTATCAGCAATTATTGAAGATAATTGAATTGAAGTTAAATATTTTGAATGGACAAGAGCACCTGCTGGTAGTGGGGAGGAGAAAACACTCGAGCACTGTCCTTGATCAAAACTTTGTTAAACCCCTCTTCAATTTAAATTCATTCTTTGGGCTGGATGTCTCCCACAAATGGTTTTCATGAGCTTAATTCCCAATGAATAATAGATGATTCAATAAGTAATCCAGAGGGTTTTCTCAATGTTCATTCAGAATTTCCCATGGTTTACGGAGGACATGACAGACGAGGACTGATGTTTATGGCAAAGAAGACCAATAACTTCTGAGCGTCTATAATGTATCTAAGGACTACTGGAGCCATGACTTGCAAAATTTGGTTCGAATATGAAAAATCTTTTCCCTACCATGTAGTTTTTCCAAAATTCTTATTTCAAAATCAAAATCTTAAACAATATTTTCCAAAAAGTCCGAAGTCCAAAGAATGAATTGGAATGAAAAGGAGTTGATGACCAGGAAGGACAGTGCTCGAGTGTATCCTACACCCCACTACCAGCAGGAGCTCTTATCAATTCCAAATATGTAATCTATTTTCAATAATTGCTGATAGTATTGCTCCAACCCAGCAAATTCAGATGAAATTTTGAGAATCAGTTGAAAACACGCCTGTGTCTGGATTGTGAAAGTTTTTCGAAATAGCTCCATGTGAGTGGAGGGCTCTTTTTTCTTTACCACTTTCACTCCAGCGCTATTTCTCTTTCTCTTGCCCAAGTTGTCTTTCATGACACACATGTATATAATGCATACATAACCATAGTGGAAATTTATTTATTTACTTCGCTGGAAAATCTCAGATACTATTTTCACAGACATCTCAGCCATATCAAAATATATGTGACTTTCCTTCTGAAACGGGCTCATGTTCTGCCATACAGGTCAACCCTTTATTTCCTTAGATATGTCTACTTGATCTTCTAGTTCTCCCCAGTCTTAAATTCTTGGCCAATATGAGAATAACGGCAAAGAGGGAGGGAAATCCTGTATAAACCAAGTTGATTTCAAATTGATAGAAAAGATCTGAGATTGGAGATCCGGACAAGTTTGGGGACATCTACCGTCAATATTATGCACCTGACTGAAGGTGTCTTAAAGACGTCTCTAAGATGTCTCGAAGACATCCCTCTCGAGATGTCAGGAACCGTCCGAAAAAAATTTTTTTTCAGGATGTCCCCTAAAGACCTTAGGACTAGTTGTCCAGTTGGAGACATCGCTGGGATGTCACTGTGCTGTGTGGGATGTTGAACATATAGACAGGACCCTCCCCTCCACCCCGAGACTGGGGTAAACGCTAAGGAGGTTAAGAAATGTCACTGATATATTTTTTTGCCATACACGGTATATTGAGTCAAAGGAGACGAATAGAGATTTCCATATACTGATGTATAGATTTCTCCGCGATCATAGCACATTATTCTGAAATATGAAAAGGAGAAGAGAGGTCTGTATTCACTCATAAAGTTTTGTGGAGCGCTAAGTTGTTGGGTTTTTTTTTAAATAGGATATTATCATATACAGTACAAGTTCAAAGGTGTAAGCCTTTTCATGCTGGCTGATGGCCACATCGAGAAATCCAATCGTGTAAAAGTCTTGCAAAACGTTTAGAGCGGAATGAGCTTGTGTATTTATTAGTGGACTGAGTAGGGTTCAAATCTGGTTATTGTAGTTTAATGTTTTCCAAACGGGATTGAAGGTGGTGGATGCCTGTCATCTTGATTGAATATGCTGGGTATGCGTGACAAAATGTGAATCCGTAACCTGAGAACAGATTATCTATTCCCTCGCAATGGGTAACTCCGTAAAGCAACTTTAAAATTGCATTTGAGTCTGCTCGTTCACCTCGCGAGCTCTCGATGAGAATGCTAGCGGGTGTAAAAAAAAAATGCCATCGAATGCTGCCAGTCGCTTATTGTGCCCTGTTTCGTCATCGCCTTAAAGGAAGCACAGCGGTAATCATAAAAGTATTCAATACCGATACAATTTTGCTTTTCTAAAGGCTGTTACTTGAATGTTGGGGCAGACTGGGCAGACTTGCTCACGACCCTATCTCATCCAGTCAGCTTCCCTTCACGTCCTTCTTCGCTTTCGCTTTCGTTCCTCTTTTTCATGTCCTCGTCTAGCACGTCCTTGTACTATCCCAGGTGTGCACGTACTCATTTCCATTTTCTTTATTTTCTTGCTTTTGTGTGACAGAGGCCCTGGAGATACGGCTTTGGTATGAATATGAGCGAAATCTTGCACAGTCGACCCTCGGCAGACGTTTCTGTTGCCATCTCCTTTCGATCATCATGCATTCTCTGGTGATCGATTTCTTTTGCGTTATACGGTTAGTGCGTAGGTGAAGACCGGGGAAACTCGATTGTATTGTCGACGGGGAGCTAGCACCTTCCAGCGTGAACTGGAGGTCACTCGATTTTATTGCTCCTACGTGCTCCCTATAAAGTCTGTCTTGAGCGGGTTATGGATGGCGTAACTCTCCTCTTCTCATAACACGGCAGAGAATGAGTGAGTGAGAGAGAGAGGAGGGGAGAGAGGGAGAGGGAGAGGAAGGAAGAGGGAGAGGGAGAGGGGGGACTGGACTTTCACTTCGCACCGAATACACCTCATTGAAATAATAATACTCTTCCGAGGGAGGGAGAGATTGAACACGAGCCACCTCCGGTTCTTCTAGCCCATCGATACCTGCGAACGTGAAAGTGAGCACCCTAGTCAGTCACATGGGACTCTTGTCATCTACTAATTACCTTCTCGTGGGTGGCTCTCGAGAGATATGAACAATCATTCGAGTCATCGGTGCGCCGCCCTTAACAGTGCATATCGATTACGGGGCAAAATTTCGCAACTTTTCCATCCCACCTGTCCCTGTTGATAACGAATGGGAATGCATGAACTTCATCAAGTATGATTGAGAGAGACGAGGGGGGAAATGTCCATGTGGGCGACGGGCAGGCTTGGCAAACTTCATCGAGGACTCCGTGGAATACCACTCCAGAACGTCCGAGGCCCTTGGGAGGTGGGTTCCGTGCTAGAGGTGAATCTTGGAGAGGTCATCAATCGTTACGCAAAGGGTTAGGCCTACCCCAAGGGTGATGAGAGGAGAATCCTCGTTTATTAATGCCATTAATGCCGGCGTCTCTCTTTCATCTTGGCCATGCTAATGGAGGGACTGCTACTGTGGGGGACTTCGTGGCTGGCATGAGCATGGACCTGATTCCGTACCAGCATGATCATAAATCAGGTGCACCATTAAGGAGGGGTAGATGTTATGAAACTGCAGAAGGACTCCCTCCCTCCCTTAAATTTTCAATTGCACTTGTTCTGATGAGTCACATTTTATCTGCATTGAGTTCGTATTTCATATTGCACAGCTATCTTCTGAACAGTAATATAAGTGCAACGAAGATCCCGACTCGGCTGGAGCTCCTCGGCCTTGCAAAGATCATTATTCATAAGTAGGAAATGGGAGGCCATCTGTGGCTAAGGCCATTCATTCGGCCCACCCACTAATGAGGAAGTCAGAAAATCAGCCCGAATCATCAAACCCATTCCGGGTCCACACCCAAAGGGGCCCCCTGGACCCTGACCGAGATCATCACACCTTATGAAACACAGGGAATAGTAGTATCCTCGTTGCGTTGTGGAAGAGGAACCGGCCTGGTGAGAAAGCGAGCCGGCCATTGACAGACAAAAGGAGGTCAACATCTTCCATATAAGGCTTCGTCAAAGCGATGAAAGTGTTTCAAGTTCATCTTATCAGGGTGACCAACCATGACGTAACCGCTGATTACGTTGGAACGATCCCAAACCGTATTACCGGTATATTCATTCCATCTCGGGGATGTGGTTTAGGATCATTCGGCTCCATTAATGCCATCTTCTTTCCGTTTACGACCGCTTTTCGATCTCCTCCGGTCTGCCATTCCCGTTTTTACGACCTTTAAGAGGGAAAGATGAATGTCCGGGCTTCTGTCCCGATTGCCGATGCTATGACGGACCGACGAATAATTTTACGTTCTAACCGTTCTTCAGAGATGGGTACATGATGGGTGGCTACATTGTCTTCTAGACGTCATGAGCATGTTCCATACAGAGGCATTGTTCTTATCTGATGCGGAATTGATGTTCTGCCATTTTCCTCTCCCTCGGATTCAATGACCCTTTGGATATTCAATATCCTGGTTGAGAAACACGTTTTTCGTGTTCCATCGAGAGCTTCTTCGGGCCTTGACAGTGCACATCTGTGCAAGGGCTATGGAAACACCAGAAAATAACGACATTCTTGTGGTTGTGCTTATGGGATCCATTTCAAGTATGGAGGTCGAATGCTCATCTGCATCATGATGATATAGTGTCGCTTTCTTTTCGTTTTAAGTGTCTATAAACCCCTCCCTTCTCTTATCAAAGCGACCTTGAAACTCCTGCTCTTGCTCTCCGCACCTTCACGGTTCACTTTTATCACTTCCTTTTTGTCTTAATATAGGGGACCAAGCTCTATATGGCAATCGGTCTCCTTTTTTTTGTCTCCCGTGTGGATATAATTCATGGCGTCCATGGGGTCTCTCTCGTTTCAGTTCATTAACAAGTGTAGAACGGGTTCAAGGTCGGTTGGCTTCTGGGAACCTGCTGATGGATTCCCCCTTGATGATTTTTCGAGATCATCCAACGGCATCCGAAGGGGAAAATCGAGGGCGTCATCATTGGCCGTGGTTCAAAAACTCTCACTAGGAGACACAACGGGAGATTATCATACGGGACGGGACAGTCGCCCCCGCTCTCTTGCACTATCTTGGTATAGCGCTTTCTGTTCGTGTAACCCACATTCACGTGTCGTCCAGGAGGAAGATGAATCCATCCTCGGAATGAATTACACCAACGATGGACCACCTCCTGTCTCTGTTTGCATCACCTCGGCCCTCGACGCGCCTATTTTTCTCACTCACTAGCACGTCTCTCTCCTCTCTCTCGCTGTCTTTCCTCACTCTCCTCCAAGAATGGGGATATCCTCCCCGTTATCTTTAGATGCATTTTTCTTGTTTGCCCCGCCGGAACAATGAATAATCACACGTGGGTTTGAGGTTCTTCCATGCTGTCCATGAGGACGGTGATGGTGGCCGTGTGATGAATGGAGTGGATGGAATGAGTGAGTCTCTCAATGATTTTAATTGAATCTTGATCCAAGGTTTGGACATCAGGGAACCACGCCCTCTTTCGTGCTTCTCTTGGTTGGCGGGGGCCAGATTCGGTTTTAAACTGGACTAGTCCACTACGCTGACGCTGAGATGTTTCATGGGTCCCTCCCCTCTCACGCAGCTTCTCCCCTCCCTCCTAGCCTTATTCCTTTCCCCGTACACGTGTTCTCCCCATTCCAGACCGGTTTGGTCGTGGACCAGCGTGGTGCAGTCATTGTTGTGCAACTCGTGCAAGAAACTCTCGTTTGAAGTGGAATTCGTCTGTGATTAAAATAGTGCAGTGGCCGAATGCCCTTTTAATGAGCCAGGTTCCCGTGTATCTGTATGACGCTGCCGAAGTGGTTGTTCCTCAAAGAGTGCTGAGAGTTGGCGAACTTTATCTGTGCCTTTCTTTGCAACAGCTGAATCTTGTTCGCACGGAGCTGGCTTCCTATCAGCAATTCTTCACTTAGATTCACGCCCCCTTTTTTTTAAAAACCTGATTCGTCTTTTCTGTAATTGTATTCTTTAAAAATATCCTTCCCAGATACCTACGAACCAACTCAATCGGGGTTTCCGTTGAATTTATAGCTGCTATGCATATTCTGATTTTGGGAGTTCGACCCTGAACGATTAGAAAAAGTAGGACACTTTTCTTGGCTGGTGATGAACGCGAATGTGCATCGAATCCCTATATTTATCAGCATTGGCAGAACTAATGGCATTCATTAAAAAGAAGTTATTTAGATTGGAATTTTTATACCAATTTTTTTAAAAGTGCTTTCCATCCTATAGTGTTTCTTGCACTCTATTTCGAATAAGACAATAAAGCAAAGAATAAGCACTACCTACCGACAAACAAAAAAATATTAGTTCAGGTCTCTGTCGTATTAGCGCCTATTAATGGTCGAACT